AAAATTAAAGTTTTTTGGGTGTTAGTATCAATATGTTAGTCTTAAGGTTATCTATAAGGCAGTGTGCTCCAAAACAGTGACAAAATTCGCATTTAGAAGATATAAGCATTCAAAGCTTGCAGTTCGTCACTTCCGCCAAACGGCTCAGCGAGTTTTTGACGTCATATCGTACTTCAGCGTCTCATCAAACTTTCTGTCCAATCAAATGCTCTCTAGAATCCAAAGCGCCTGCCCCCTAAACTATAAAATAGACGCTGAAGCCACGGCTGAAATCTGTCACTTGTCCACAGAATTAGTATTTTCTGTACAGATGAGAGTGTGGCTGGCATACCCTTTCAAATGCGGCTTTACGGAGCACAACGGCTCTGAACGGCTCTAGCACAAGTTGTGATATAAACGAACGCTATTGGCTATGTTAAAAAGGGGCGGGGCTGCTTGATATGTCCCGCCCTGTCTTCCTGTTTCAGTTAAAATGACGTCAACACATAGAGTAACGCTGCGTGTTTCTAAGCATTTCAGGGGACCTTTAACAGTAGCATTTTCTATTCTATCTATTCTTTCTACTTATTTTCTTTTTATTTATTATAAATAATGACCTTCTAACACAAGCATTATCTATTCTTTTTCTATTCTATCTACTTGTTTTCTTTTTATCTATTATAAAAACAAAACAAGCAAACAAACACACACACACACACACACACACACAAACTTGATATGTATACTTTTAGGCGATGTAAATATATAGTTAGAGCACCTTCACTAATTTAAGAAGCACCCTCAGTGATTTGATTCTGGAGCCGGGCCTGTTTGTATGGACAATAAGCTTTCTTTTTTATTTCCTTGGCAGAACAAAGTCAGATGTATGTATGTATATATCACTTGTTCAAAATGAATAAATAAGAAATAAAAAAAAATTCTGCGCACCAAAGAATTTGTGGAAGATTACATATTTTAGAATTATATATCATATGTCTCTTTAACCCGTTAGTGACTGTAATGTGTCAGGCCAGCCTTCCGCGCGCTGCAGTGACGTTTGTATCCGCGAGAGTGACTGGAGTCTGAGCGCGCGGCGGAGCGGCGGGACACGGTGAGTGAACTGTTAACGAATCCCCGAACCACCGCGACCCGGCACGGTCATTCACAGTTACATTCACAAGCTCGTGCACTATACAGCGAGCGCCGGGTTTGGGAGGAAGGTCGCTCAACAAAACTTAACGTAATGAACATGCTAAGGTGCTAGCGCGAGCTAATGAGGCGCAGGCCGGCTGACTGAGCAGAATTATCCCCGCACAGCAGCGCTGCTGCCCGTCGGAGTTCACAGGAAACACCGGTGCGTTTACAGGCCGCGGTCTCTCCTGCGAGCAGACGAAAACAAACACCTGTCCGCATGTTAACGGTGAAATATTTGATCTGTGCGCGTTAAATGGGATTACTATGTGCTGGTTAACAAGTTAAATTCTGTGTGTTTGTATTTAACCTGTGTTTTGATTTACATATGAACTCCCAGTGTCCACACTGGCATACAATCTCACTCGACAAGTGACCAAAATTACATTACAACTGGTAGTATAGAGGAATGTTTCGTGCAGATTGGATCCCACAGCTGTAGAGGAGATGTAACGTTAGTCTTGACTCATGTTATAATTACAGTCCTGGTGACACTGTAATGTTATTGAACCGTCTAGGGGAGACAGTGGTCATCTGTACACCTGTTGCAATGGTTTTATCTGTATATGTGATATTTAGTTTAATCTGATGACATTTAAAGGTGTAATCAGAAAAAAACTAATAGATTGATATTCACTGGTTTGGAGAATGGCACAGTCCTGTCTGTGCCTTTTTATTGCTTATAGTGATTGACATTTAATGGGTGTGAAAGGAAGATTTCCTTTGGAATCTTTCTTAATTTACCCATGGCTTTTCCTTATTTTTTATTTTTATTTTTGAAGTTTATAAGTTAATCTCAATCACTGAAAATATTGCTGTACATACTATTAACTGATTTGCTTATTTACTGAACAAAATGGGATCTTAGGAGGGTCGGATAGGATGACAAGGCAGTCATTCTTCTCCTCCAGCGACCTGCCACTCATATGAGATTGCAGCATGTAGGAAACGACAACAATTCAATCAATTCCAGAAGGACAAAATCAAGTTCTGCCTTACATTTTCCTCATTCAAGAAGCTGTTTTTTTTGTCTGATATGCATCACAATAGAAGAGGAAAGACGTTCACAATCACAATTTTCATTTCATGCTAATTTTAACTTTCCTCAGTGTTCAGAAAGTTTTAATTGAGCCACTTTTTTCTAGAGTTAGTTTCTTCAGGCTGAATGAACTGGTGCATTAGCATAGCTTCAGTTGGATCTGCATGCAGTAGATAAGCTGTTTGTTTGGTCATTTGAATGCATTTGCATCCTTGATCAGAGTGGAATTTGAAGTGCACTCTGAATGACCTCAAATAGCCCTGTAAAACATACAGCTGTAGTGACGGTGCTTTAAAGGAAACTAGTTTAAATAAACAATTCATCAGAGGCATGAAACTAAAGTTGTGGAAGTCTTTTCTTTAGTATTGTGAGGGTGGGGCTTGACATTTTCTATCTGGAAATTGTTGGTCATGTGATTGACTGGTTGATGGAAGGGGCGGGAGGATCATTGCCCCCATCACGCTGACATACATGTAATCAGAGAAAATAATTTAGATTTTAAAGTAACTTCAGAGCAACACTAAAAACAAAAGTGTAGATTTAAAATAATGTAGGCGACAAGGCGCTGTATACCTAGTAAGCCATGAAAATCTTTGAAAAAGTGGTATAAATATTGTTAACATTTATGGTTCTGGAAACCTCAGTGTGCTAACCACGTCCTCAGAAAACCAAAAACCTGTTTTAAGCTTCAAACCTTGCACTGATGAATGATAAGTGTGTGTGTGTGCTGTGATTGAATCTTACAGGCCTCAACAGAGAGACCCACCATGCGTGAATATAAGCTTGTGGTCCTGGGCTCTGGAGGCGTGGGGAAGTCTGCACTGGTAACTTCAGCATTTTTAAAGTCTACACATTACTGTATTATAAATGGGCATTGTATACAGTATTTGTAGTGTTTTTCTCTCTAGTCTGTAGTATTTATTCAGGTCTTTATTTGTATTGAATGAGATTCTGGTCTTTCACAGACAGTTCAGTTTGTACAGGGAATATTTGTTGAAAAATATGACCCCACAATAGAAGACTCATATAGAAAGGTAAGTAAACCATTTTGGTATAGCTGAATTAATACAACATATAGGGAAATGCGTTAATGCAGTACTGACACCCTCTCTCTGTTTTTTTTTTTTTTAGCAAGTTGAGGTTGATGGGCAGCAATGCATGCTAGAGATCCTGGACACTGCAGGCACAGTGAGTTTAATCTGATGCATGAACTCAACTGGCCAATTAGTTAATTAGTCTTCAATGTGAACTCATTAGATTATTGATTGTTTGCCTACAGGAGCAGTTCACAGCAATGCGGGACCTGTACATGAAGAACGGGCAGGGTTTCGCTCTGGTTTACTCCATCACAGCACAGTCCACCTTTAATGACCTGCAGGACCTACGGGAGCAGATTCTGAGAGTGAAGGACACAGAGGATGTGAGTCGCTTTGAATAATAATACATTAACTATATTATTATTAGTGGTGTTTGCTTTGGCAAATCACAAATCATTATTTTTTTAATAATATATTTTTTTTATTTTGTGAAAAAAAAAAACCATCATGAACTGACATCAGCTATAGCAAGTTCTAACCAGCAAAGGCAAAACAAATAAAGCACAAAACTTATTTGATTTTACTGAGGCAAGAGGTTTGAGACAAATTTGCAGAAGCTGTATTCACACTGTACACCACACTGATTCACCAGAGTACCCGCTTTCTTTATTTACAGACCTTATTTACAGCTCATCAGGCATTGCAGTTTCAGTTCTCTAAGCATTAAGCATATATATATATATATATATATACACAGTACATTACTTTTGAAATGTTTGGGGTCAGTAAGATTTTTTAAAAGTCCACATGAAATCAAAATTTACAATATTTATTTTGTTAGCGCACATTGCTAGTCTTAAAAGGCACTTATTATGGCCCTTTTTACAAGATATAATATTAGTCTTGGGTGTCCCCAGAATGTTTGTGAAGTTTCAGCTCAAAATACCCAACAGATCATTTATTATTTTATTTATTATAATTTTGGGGTCTGTCTAAAAAAAGAGCTGTTTTGGAGTGTATCGCTTTAAATGCAAATGAGCTGCATATTCCCGCCCTGTCTCCAGAAGAGGGCGTCGCGTATATGTCTCTCTGCATTGCATATCTACAGCAATAAACAGCCGGTAGAAGCAACATAACTGAGAGCGAGAGAACCGATGTTAAGCCGTACATATGGGAAGCCAGATGCACTGAAAGTGGACGAAACAGCCCGAAACAGAGCTTGCGCCGCGCTGACCTGTCATCGGCGCAGATCAATGGACCGAGCCGTGCTACCGAACGAATCTCGTGCTACGAACGGCGCAAACTAATTTCACAAGCGCGGCACTGATCAGATAAAAAATACTTATTGGACGCACACAAATGTGATTAAACGGCTAAGCACTATAACAACATGACATTCACAAAGGAGTCTGGAGTGATACACGTATTTAGATAGATTTTGAGGCTCATTAACTTGAAAAATGAAAGTAATACACAGCGTCCTCAGCAGCTCAGAAGTTGGGAGAGAATGAAGACTCTTATGTTCAGTCTTACATCCAAACACAGAGCATCGGGATTGCTTGCGAGACATTGTTGACGTTACAGCTGCTGGAGCGCAGTGAAAATGGAGGACAGAGTACAAACACTGAGGAAACTATAGCAGTGCAGGGCTGTCAATCAAACCCCGTGGCCCGGCCCTATGCAGTGTGACGTCACACTGCATGAGGATCAAAACGGCAGGCCTAGTGAGACTGACTTAGTTTAAAGGGGATTAAAAAATGAGGAGTGGGTGGACTTTTATCATTGTAGGGTGGTTGTGTTCACACACTGCCAACACACATTTATGTCCAAACACCATGTAAAAGTGGATTTTGCATAATAGGTGCCTTTTAAAGTCAACAATTAATCAGTGCAAGTTAATCCTCTGAAAAAAATTGTTTGTCTTGGTAATCTTTAATCAAAATCTGATCATTTACTTCCACTCTGGAATGTAATGCCTTCTCTGATGACGTCAGTTTGACGGCTTGGGCCATGGCTTGGGCAGAATTTGCTTAACCACGCCCCTCCAACCGGTTAGTTTGCTGCAATTGAGAGATGAGAGAAGGAGCGCAAAAATAAAGCTCCGCCTTCTACTCAATATTCTGTTTCGGTTGGAAATACGTCGCCATACTGAAATCCAGTTGGCAGTAACTTCTGGTTTACGCAGACTTTAAATGTATATACAATTAAATATATATATATAAATGTAATTTGTGACCCTGGACCACAAAACCAGTCATAAGTAGCATGGGTATATTTGTAGCAATAGCCAACAATACATTGTATGGGTCAAAATTATCGAGTTTTGCCAAAAATCATTAGGATATTATGTAAAGATCATGTTACATGGAGATATTTTGTAAATTACCTACCGTAAATATATCAAAGCTTAATTTTTGATTAGTAATATGCATTGCTAAGAACTTAATTTGGGCAACTTTAAAGGCGATTTTCTCAACATTTTGATTTTTTTGCACCCTCAGATTCCAGATTTTCAAATAGTTGCATCTCGGCCAAATATGGTCATATCCTAACAAACCACATATTACAGTTTTTCTGAATTGCTAAAACACTAAACTCCAATTTCTGGAACCAAATTCTCACTAGCGTAAACCAGTTTGTAGAATAAAGCACTCTTTCTGCTAAACCTTAAACTAATGGAAACAATCTGAGAAGGAGAGGAGGAAGAGTACATGTACAGTAAGAAGTGGAGGATAAGGAGGAAGAGGATGAGGAGAGAAAGAGTAAGGTTTAGAGAGTGTTATCAAGGCTGGATCTGTCAGACCA